CAAAAACAGGATCAAAAACAAATCCATCATCTAGATTGCTATGAAATACCCCATGAGTGCAAACCGCCAGGTCATGCCAAAGATTTCATAACCCGGTGAGAACAAAGCTCAGCCTTGCTGCTGCCAGACGCCAATGCACTGGCTGGTCTAAGGGTCTTACTCACAATCGCATGAACAGCCAAAAGTTATCACATGCCACAGCCCTACCTGCTGATGCCAGCAAGAATCTCTCAACCTTTCTATGCCGGCTAACGCTTTGTGCTGACAAGCCCAGAGCAAGACACCCATAACTGCATATGGAATTCTGTGTCTCTCTGCACACACATGATGCTTGAAACCGTGGCCTCAGCTGAAAGACAATCTCATGCAAGTGCCAAACAGAATATACCATCTTCCCCACCCACCTCTCACCGATAGGTGTCCTTGATGTAATCACCATGGCTTTGTCTACACTAAAGGCTTCTGCACAAGAAGCTTTTTTGCGGAAGAGATCTTCCACAAAAATGTCTTTCACAAGAGCACATCCACACTGCAAAAGTGCATCAAAAAAAGCGATGTGTTTTTGCACAAGAGAGCATCTAGGCTGCATGGATGCTCTCTCAAAAGGAAACTCTGATTGCTATGCACTTGTGCTTTTTTTTTTCGATTGCCTCTTTTTGAGCAAAACCCCGGTTTCCCATCCACACACACCTCCTCACAGAGGAATACCTACACCAGAAAAAATTCTCTGTTCTTTCGTTTTACTTGCACAAAAATGCACTTGAGGTGTGGATGCTCCACGAGTTTTTGCGCAAAACCTGCTGTTTTTGTGCAAAAACTCTGTAGTATAGACCTAGACTGTGATTCAAAGGAAGAAACCAAACCAAAGCTCCCCAGCCAGACTCTGCCTGCCTGGCCATGGGACTCTTGTTGTTTGATCTGTGCACATTTATGGAAATGTCATGGCATTGCGATGTGATGAGTGTTGCAAAAGAAACACGTCGTCTGATTAAGCAGAGCCTCCATGTGTCGATTTGAGTCCACCCAGACGTCCCTTGGAGGTCATCTCTGTAGGGCTTCCCCATTTTTCATTTTGAGAAGGGGATGTTCTGTTTTATTCTTACCTTTAGGGGAAGTAAACCATTAACAGGGACCCTGGAGCGTCTGTATTTGGGTATCTGGGAGGCAGAGACAGCTGCAGACTGGATTTGTGTGTGTTTTCACACTGCTGCCCCAAGCCACTCAGCAGCAACCTTTGTGCTGGATTTCTCTTCAGCCCTGGGTGCCAATCATACCAAGGCAGGAATGTCTCTTATGTGATAGTGTTTGCTGTGTGCCGGCCTGGGAAAACAAGCTAACCCATAAGTAACCTGGGCTGTGCTGGGTTTATAATGTTGTCCTTGGCCAAATGTTTCCAGTTTATCCACCAGAAAAGAGACCCAGAGAACAACAGGGGGAGCACTGAAGAGATCTCAGTGGGCTTATTTTATTCATTGACTTTATTTAATTGATTACATATAATTTTTAACTACGTGTATTTAAAATTTAATTTAACTGGCATCTCCCTGTGCTCCTTGAGCCCCTCTCACACGAACAAATTTAGCTTTAGACTGTGAAGTCATGATCATCATCTCCACTTTGTGGATGAGGAAGGAAAGAGAGGGTAAAGGACTTGCCCAGGGTCACACAGAATATGAGCCTGGTCATAAGCCTCCCAGGTCAGTTCCGTAACCATCCTTCCTCCGAAAGTGAAACCGTAACTCCCCTTCACGCTACAGGGCTTGCCCTGGAGGCTGGGCTCTGAAATGCAGTGAAAGGGGAAGGTCTTGGGACCTAGGCTGCCGCCCAGTGCCACACATCTCCCTAGCAGCACCCTGCGACCCGAGTCAGCTGATCTGGGCTCTGAGACTTGCTGCGACAGGATTTTTATCCCCTCTGAGTTCTAATTCCGATTGCCTTCCTGGCCACAAGGCTGCGCTCCAACTCCCACAGCTGGAGAATTTATTTTTCATTCATTTAATTACACTGTCTCTAAGTCACAGCATCTATGGTGCTCTCATTTGTTCACCACGTGTTCTAGGGCCATTTCCCACTCACTTTGGGTTCAGCCTGCAGTTGAAAAACATGGTAAATTTGCATGAACTTCAGGAAATGGCTCCATGGGTTTCACTAAGCATTCAATCAAGGGTCAGTGCAGCCATGCCCATAAAATATCCACAGCTGTGCAATTTGTCCATCACAGGCCTACAGTCCCTATACCACCTCCCATTGACTCAAATGGAAATTCTGCCAAAGGCTGGGTCACATGCACTGCTGGGTAAAACAACTTGGATTGTAAACTCTTTGGGGCAGTCACCATATTTTTGTGCTGTGTTGCAAGTGAATTAAACTAAACCAAATTAAAGCCACTTTAATTCTGAAAGACGGCATCCACACAAGGGTTTCGTGTGGGGCACGTAATCCTTTTTGACTTCATATCTTTAGTTAATTTGGATTAGTTTTTCGGAGTGTCCCTGTTTAGACAAGTAATTCCGCTGCATGGACTTATACAAATGCAAAACCAGCAAAAGAAAAACAGGACCAGCTGAGAGTATGCAAAGTCCAAAGTACAAATGGTTCAAAAAAGAATCAGATAAATTCATGGAGCTCAATGGAGATCTGTTCAATAGCTATTACCTAACCTAGCCAGATGCACAACCCCATGCTCTGTGTGTTCCTAAACCCCCATCAGCCAGGAGCTGGGACTGGATGAAACTCTTGGAATTGCCTGGTTGTGTTCATTCCCTCTGAAACAACTGACACTAGACAGTGTCAGAAACAGAACACAGGGCAGATGTGCTATTGGTCGGACCAGACGTGGCTGTTTGTCTGTTTCCATGCACATAGGAGGCTCCCAGTTATGATGGCATAGAACGCTGCTAACTCCTTTGACTTCAGTGATGTTATTCTCGACTTTCCCAGGAGCATTGAGATCAGACTCTATCAAACAGCAGATCCATGCAGCTTCTCAGCGTAAGCAATCAATGTATATAAGAAAAAACACTACTTGTACTCAGCTCTCCATGGGCAACATTCACACAAATGGCCTGTTTCAGCAATTTGTGGAGTGTAAACTCCCGGAGATGGGTATCAGACAACTAAGCCATTTTCACAATTTCCCCCCTGAAGGCAGAAAGTATTACAACTTTTATTCACAACTCCTCCCTGCCCCCCATTCATTTGGTAGCCAATGGCAAATTATACAGGGAGCCAAACACTACAGAACAATGGCCCACTACCAAAAATGTGACATGGTTGTTAGCACTGTTCTTGTCTCACTGAGTTTCCTGATATCTTCTGAATGGTACACACCAATCTGAACTGAGCCAAACATGTTCCTGATGTAATACAACTGCACTCAGCTAATTCATGCCAGGAATACATTGGCCCTGTCTGCTAACTGTATACACAACTAGTAGAATTCACAGAAGATTCAGTTCTACTGATCAAATACATGCATGTAAAAATACACATACAAACAATGATAATGCATTGTTAATGCTGTAAGTTTGTTCAATTAAAGTCACAAAAAGACAAAGTCCAGAAATCCAAAACTTATGGCTCCTACAGTTTTGTCAACACACCCACGTCACACATCATGTATATACTCTGAAATGCATTTTAGAACATAAACTACTTATATTAATCTATAGGTATGTCTACACTTGCAGCCTGTTTCAGAATAGGGCTGCAAATGGAGGCATTCGGAATTGCAAATCAAGCCCGGGATTTAAATATCCCGTGCTTGATTTGCATCTTCCCGGACGGGCGCCATTTTTTCCAATTTACAAGCCTGGAATAACTGCTCGCGTCTACATGTGGCAGTGAAACTGGCGTTCAAAATAAAACCCTATTTCGAACTACCTGTTAAACCTCATTGCAGGTAGACGTGGGCAGTTATTCCAGGCTTCTACATTAAAAAAAAAAAAAAGGCACCCGGCGGGGAAGATGCAAATCAAGCGCGGGATATTTAAATCCCGGGCTTGATTTGCAATTCCGAATGCCTCCATTTGCAGCCCTATTCCGAAATAGGCTGCAAGTGTAGACATACCCTTAGTCTTTAAGCTGAAGAAAAAATAGGGATAGAAAACATTTTATAGGTAAGATGCAACAGAGCATTGGCACTGGTGCCTCAACATATACCATTCCTCCTTTCACCTTCACGCAAAACACGAGTCCATTGCCTGTAGTGAATTCTACTGTCCCTTCCTCTGAAGAGGAGCGCAATTATAAGAACACATGAATAGATGCAGACATATAATCTGTGCTCCTTCTATACAATTAATTATTCAGAGAGCTGTGAGCCCAGGATCTGCTGCAGACAGAGTGAACTTGCGAAGGGATGCTCCAACCCACACCTACCCCCTTCCTTTACTGAGCAGATTTTCACATGCTAGAAATTAATGTTGGAGAACCAACAGCTTTAGGAGGTTCCAAATTAAGACACACAGAACATTCTGCACCTCAAACTGCAATCCCTGAACAGGAAGAACTCCAAATTATGGAGTAAAATCCTGGCTCCATCAACCAATGGGAGTTTTGCCATTGACTTCAATGAGGTCAGGATTTCACCCTTGGAGTCAAAAGTGAGCACTAAGCTATGAGAAATCCATGCACGTTTTTCTTCCACATCCAAGGCTCCAGCTAATGGAAAGTGGATATCAAATTGTGACAGCAAAACTATTTCAGGTTGAGAGTTTCTATGTAGTTGGACAATTGCTATTGCAATGTGATTTATATAACTTACCCATGTCAACAGGGCTCCAAGGCAAAGGAATCTGAGCCCTCAGGATTTTCAGTTGCAAACAAAGTTCATGCAAGTGGCTAAGGTTTGTTTCTGAGATGACATGTTGGTGTCTGACAACAGGGACAGGTATCTCCAGGCTAAACAACCAGTCTGTCCCACTGGAGAAGGGACTCAGAAGTTGGTGGGTGTGGCTGGGTTTTTAAACGTACAATACATGTTATAAAAGGGACAGTACCTGGTCTCCAGGCTGGGGGCGCATCACAGACACACGATCATAGCCTTTCCGCAGCAGGACCCAGAGAGCATCCAGCTTGCCCTGCAATTACAAGAAATACAATGAATTATTTTGGATGCGATCAACATGTGCTGAGTGGATAACACAGGTCAGCGGCAGCACAGCTTGGCCCTCTTTGCTTAAACTGAATGCTGTGCGTGTGAAAGACACAGGATCATCAGTCCTGGAGTGGGATGTCCAGAAGCACGATCAGCTCCTACTGCAGACTCAAAGGTGAGGTTTTCAAAAAGCAATTAGGCCCCTGAGACCTGCAGAAAATCAACAGAATCTTTTGGGTGACTAACTCCCATTTGTACCTCTGAAAATTGCCCTCAAAGCTTGTAGGCAACTTGCATACCTGCCTCCAGCCTTAACTCTCAGCTGAATGGGCACCAGCACCATGCGGGGCGGAGAGAATCTTCACTATTTAAGCAATCTCTAGTACAATGGTGGGCAACCTACAGCCCCACGGCTGCGTGCAGCCCATTGGGGTTCTGCGTGTGGCCCATGAGACATTTTGTTTACTGTTGCCCACATGAATGATTGCCAGATTCTGCTGGACTCCAGTCGTGTTTCCTACCGGTGTTACTAGAGTCTCATGCACATAAAGCAAGGGCATATCAAACGAGGTGCTCATTGCACACAACATTGATCGTGAGAGCCATGCGCTCCCTCTGCTTCCAATCACAGCGCTGCTACGGCTCCATTAGCACACTCCATAAACTCTACACGAGCACAGTTAGCACAACAGCCCGATCCCAGGAGACTGCCTTGGTTACGACAACACACTGAGATGAAGAAGGCCACTCATGCAGCCCACTCACTAGCCTAGGTTGCCCAGCGCTGGTCTGGAATCTCTGCAGAGGTTGCTGATGAAAATGCTACATACACACAGGAAACATTTATACCTGGTTTCCCCAGCAAGTTCCTCTTTCTCTCCCCACTGCCAATCACTGCCCTCCTACCCCACATCGGGCTCTGCTGCTCTTGGTGCTGGGATGTTGGTCCAAACAGAATCCTAGGGTTGGAAGAGACCTCAGGAGTCATCAAGTCCAGCGCCCTTCCCAAGGCAGGACCAACCCAACTCAATCATCCCAGCCAGGGCTTTGTCAAGCTGGGATTTAAAAACCTCTAGGGATCAAGATTCCACCCCCTCCCTAGGGAACCCATCCCAGAACTTCACCACCTGCCTAGAAAAATCGTTTTTTCTAATAGCCAACCTAGACCTCTCCCATTGCAACTTGAGCCCATTGCTCCTTGTTCTGCCACCACTGAGAACAGCCTCTCTCCATCCTCTTGGGAACCTCCCTTCAGGAAGTTGAAGGCTGCTCTCAAATCCATAAGCTCAAATCCCTCAGCCTCTCCTCATAGGTCAGGTGCTCCAGCCCCCTAATCATTTTGTTCTCCCTCCACTGTCCCCTCTCCAATGCGTCCGCATCCTTTCTATTGTGGGGTGCTCGGAACAGGATGCAATACTCTAGATGTGGCCTCACCAGAGCTGGATAAAGGGGAATAATCACTTCTCTAGATCTGCTGACAATGTTCCTCCTAATGCACCCTAATATGCCATTAGCCTTCTTTGCTACAAGGGCATGCTGTTGACTTGGCCACAAGGGCACACTGTCCAGCTTCTCATCCACTGTAACCCCCAAGTCCTTTTCTGCCCAACTGCTGCTTAGCCACTTGGTCCCCAGTTGGTCCCCAGCCTGTAAAAATGTTTGGGATTCTTCTGTCCCAAGTGCAGGACTCTACACTTGTCTTTGTTGAACCTCATCAGATTTCTTGTGGCCCAATCCTCCAATTTGTCTAGGTCCCTTTGGACCCTGTCCCTGCCCTCCAGCGCATCGACCTCTAACTCTGCTGCTCTGACCCTGGGGCACTGCGCCTCTGCTGCTCCGGCTGTGGACCAGCCAGGGCTTTGTTGCTCTGGCCAGCTAGGGCTCCATTGTTCTGTCTAACCAGCCAGGGCTCTGCTGCTCCAGCCAGCCAAGGAGCCACTGCTCCAGCTGGACAGGACTCGGCTGCTCCGGCCAGCAAGGGCTCCACTATTCTGGCCAACAGGGGCACAGAGGCTCTTCTCTACCCAAGTCCAGCAATGCTCCTGACCTCAGCCCACTGGTTTTTCCCCACATGTTCTCCAGCCCCTGAGCACCCAGGCGGTCCTCAATTTTGCACAACCTGTTGCCAGACTAAGGAAATCCGGATTAGAGAGGTTCAGTCTGAGTTGTTTTGTGGCCATGAGAAATCTCCTGATATGCTTTTTCTTTGGCTTTAGCTAAAGAGAAGTTTTCCACGCCATTGTAATGTCACATCTCACTGAGGGATTTCAATGGGGGAATTTGTTAGGAATAGAGCTGGTTGGAAAATGAAATGTCATTTTTTCAAAATGGAAAAGTGTCTGACTCTGTCTGGCCTTTGAGTTCTCTGACAAAAAGCCAAAAATTTCCATAGAAAGGAGACACTTTGTGCACTATAAATAAATACAAATATAAATTCAAATAATTTTGTCAGAAAAATGAACTGTCTGTCAAAACTGGTTTCAACAGGACGCTTTTGAGCAGCTCCCAGTTAGAGGTGACAGATTGGTATGTGCCAACTCTGCCTTTGTAGCACAAATTGTGCAATCCCAAAGAAGGCATCCCTCTATTTCTCAATGGAATGAGCTAGTGAGAAAAGGTGCAATTGCTGTGGCTGTTTCCCAGATGAGTTTAAGGAGGCCATAAAAAGTGTACAGGGTAGACAGCAACATGTGGTCAGAAACGCATATTCTCTGGTCAGGGATTCCCTGCACTGCTGTCATTTTTTCCTGTCCCTTCTGTAAGGGGCCACTGTTTCACTCCCAAAAATGAATCCACTTATCTGAGATTCAAAGAAGATTTTTCTGGAGCAGACTGTGCTGGAATTTTTCATTTCCGGAAGAATGGAAGAGCACAGAGGTATAACACACTAACTGGCATATTTCCCAAACACACTCTGAATTTCTGCCAACTGGATCTCTCCAGGCTGAATGCATGACAATCAGGATTTGGTTTAGTTTGGTACTGTCACAGAAGGATGTTTGAAGACATTTGCAATAAAACTACCTGAATGCTACTAAAATCCTGAATGCTGCTTGCCATTTGACTGACTAGCTGCCAGCACCTTTGCAAATATTTTCAAGTACATTTCATCTCTCCACCTGGCAATGTATTTCCAGAGGAACCAATTGCCTTTGAGGATGATTACAGCCATCCCAGTCTTTTCACTAGTTACTTATTTGAGATAAGATTGAACCTTAGACCAAAATACCCCTGGGTTAGAGCAGGATCAGCCCCATTTGCTATCTGGCTCTTCAGGCTAGTGACCTGTTGTCTAGTCTACATTTGTACAGCTCCTAACACAATGTTGTCCTGATTGTGGCTGGGGTGCTCGGACATAATAATAACAATAATAATTGCCTAGAAATGGCCCTTATGGGATGAAATCAAGTCAAGGGAAATTGAAGATGGAGATGAGAAAAAAGCATTCTCACAGCTAAGAGCCAACAAAGTCTGGAACAGTCATTCAGAGAAACCAGTAAAAACCTCTTGTTGGATTCTGAAACAAGAACTGCACAAACACTCAAAGCACTGTGTGTGCCTGGGCATGTGTGTGGGGAGGGATAGCTCAGTGGTTTGAGCATTGGCCTGCTAAACTCAGGAGAGTGAGGTCAATCCTTGAAGGGGTCATTTAGGGATCTGAGGCAAATCTGTGAGGGATGGTACTTGGTTCTGTGACAGTAGGGGGCTGGACTTGATGACCTCTCAAGGTCCCCTCCAGCTCTATGGGATAGTGTGTGTGTGTATATATATGTACATATTATTTTTTTTAAGACACATCTTATCCTTACTCACCCTGCTGGCAACCTTTACTCTAGAATGAAAGTTACCTTTCCATTTTTTCCTCCACAGAAAATGTAGACAATAAAGAAGCAGTTTCCATTTTTATCAAAAATTTTCAGTGGAAACATTTGACTTTGAATTAAAAGAGTCAATCCTAAAAATTTTCATCTGAAAACTGAAAGAGGGTTAATTTTTGGATGAAAATATTTAGAAGAAAGAAAGAAAGAAAGAAAGAAAGAAAGAAAGAAAGAGGATTTTCTAGTTTATATCTGTGGGAGCAGAAGACCACACTGGAGGAGTCTAGCTACCTACAGACACTCCTGTGAGAGGAAACAGAAGAAAAACTCCATGAAATAAATGACAAAAGCCAGGGGATTTCGAGTGAGGGTGGCCCTTGTGCTGCTGTGTAAAGAGAAGGATCACATGCAAATGATCACCTCTTACACGTAAGAGGTATTTTAAGCAGTGTCAGAGGGAAAGGAATGCCTTGTTTAGCCAATGGAGAGTCATGGGCATTTGAACACTGGCATGAAGGAAAATTTAAAATGGAGACATTTCCAGTGTGTGAGGCCATTTAGCTTGTGGAATAT